ACCCAAAAAAAAAAAAAAAAAAAAAAAGGAAGAAAAATATGATAGGTACTAGGTAGTCCCATCAGCGTCCTATCACCTATAAACATGGTCGTAATGCACAGGCCAAATGACCTCTTCAGGCCCCTCAAGTAGAAATTGTGAACGGAAGAAACTCAATTATAATGCAAGGCCCGTTTCTAATAAATTCTTGCTTTTCTCCTTCCAGCTTCTTTCCTAGATTTCTTGCCTTTCTCCTTCCAGCTTCTTTCCTAGATTTCTTGCCTTTCTCCTTCCAGCTTCTTTCCTAGATTCCTGGCTTAGGCCTTCACTAATGCTTAGTACTAGTTAGTAGCCCTTTTGTGAAACCTTCCAATGCATCCTCTCCTCGTAACTTGGGTGTGTGTTCCTCCCAGGTTTGTTTGACTATTTCTCTGAACCCTTTCAGGAACTAGGTATTGACTTTGTAAAAGCTGTTGCCTGAGTGGTTTGCATTTATTTTTAATAATTTGGACCATTTCTCGATTTATGCGTGTCATCCTTGCGCATGGGCCATGCTAATCTTCTGTATCGTTCCAATTTTAACAGACGTTCCGAAGGACAAGCATGCCACAATTCTTTTGGAAAGAATTTGGACCATTTCTCGATTTATGCGTGTCATCCTTAAGCAGGGGCCATGCTAATCTTCTCTGTATCGTTCCAATTTCAACGGATGTCCCAAAGGACAGCATGCCACAATTCTAATGTCACAGTTCATCCAAATTCGGGTCTGTGGACTGCAAACAATATATGATGAGGTCAACTCAAAAGAAAGACTACTGCCATGTTGGCTCGCCTTTTCCTTCTTTTTTTTTCCCTTTTATATTTTTGGGCTCGCCATTCTGCCTTAGTTGCATGGGAAGAGATCTTTGGTCTGGTCAGGTGGTACTGCGGGGTGTCTCAAGCTTTGGCCTGTTAGAGCTGAGCCACACACACACACACACGCACTTTATGTTTGTCTGTTTTCCACTTGTTGTCTGTCCTCCCTCTGATCTTTTTCCAAGTATTTTTGCTTACCCAACTGAGCACCCTTAAGTAGTGCCAAACAGTTGGTAGTTCCTCGTTTGGAGTGCCTACTGCACTCTTATGGGGGCCGCTCGGTTCGGGATGTCTGTGTTGCCTGTAGGTGATGACGGATGTTTGTCGGAGTGACTCCCTGGCTCAGTGGGTGGTGGGAACCAACAGTCTGTGGGGCTCAATCGTGATGTGAGTAGGTCATGTGCTGCTTTGCTCCGTGTTGGATGTGTGGACGTCCTGCGCTCCGCCGCTGCCCTGCTGCCTGTCCCGCTTGCTTCGCGTGTAGCTCTCTGCGAATTGCTGTGTTCGCTGCGTGGTGTGGCCGTGTTGCTGGTGTTGCCTTGCGCTTCGCTGCTTCACTGCCGTGCTGCTCATCTGCTGGTTGTGCCTTCCGTGTTTGCTGCTTGTGTGCCCTGTAGGTTGGTTGCCTTGTTGCTGGTGCCTTGTGCTCCACTCCACGGTTGCCAAGCTGCTGGTCCGTTCGCCCTGTCGTCCCTTGCTGTGTGGTTTCCCTGCTTGTGTTGCCTTGTGCTTCACTGCATGGTTGCCCCGCTGCATGTCCTGCGTGCCATGTCGTTCCTTGCAGTCGTTTGCAGCCGTGTTGCCTCTACTGCATTGCCAGGTGCTCCACAGGGTTGCTGCCCGCTGCTATGTTCCGCTTGGGGACAGTCTGCCTTCAACAAGGGTCAAAGGGTTCATGACCCAAACCATCAAATACGGAGATTCCGCAGATTGTCGAGGGTTCAGCCTCCTGATGAGTCGGTGCAACTCCGACGAAACAATCTTGTCATCATCAGTTTATTTTTTTCTGTCTTTCGATTTACTTGGGACTTGTATTTTTTTCGGTTTGCCTGCCTTCGTGTGCTTGTGTGCCTGTTTCGTGTTCTTGCATGTTGTCTGCCCTCCTGCCTCCCCCTTACCCTCGAGCCTATGCCTTGATGTCCTTTTGCTTGCTTTGCTCTGATGTTTTTCTTGTCTGCCTGGTCTTGGCATCCTTTTGGGACTTTGCCTGCTGGTGTGCTTGCACATTGTCCGCCCTCCCGCCTCCCCCGTGCCCTCCGGCTGTTGTATCTTTGTTGTGGGCACTCGGCGTCTTTTGCTTGTGAGTGCACTTGACTGCGAAGCGTTGGAACGCATCTTAGGGAGGTCATGTTGAGCCCAGTCCCTGGGGAAAACCATGTCTTGGTTTGAAGTTGACAACTGGGGTTTACAATATACTTAATCATCACACACACACACACACACACACACACACACGCACACACACACACCCATGCACGCGCACACACACACACACACACACACACACACACACACACGCACACATACGCACACATACGCACACACACACACACACACACACAAACACACACACACACACACACACATAAACACACACA